TTCATTTTGTATTTAATTTAGCAAAAGATTTATGACTTTTCTTTAATAATTTTTATTTTTTTTTTATATTTTTGAATAATTCAAAATTATTTTATTAAAAATAAAAAAATTTATAGTATTATTACATATAGAAAAATATTATTAATACGAATTAATACATAATATTTAAATTATGTGTCAGTAAAACATTTTTCAAACAAAAATATAAGAAAAAAAATTTACTAATTTTAAATGTACATTCGCAATATGAAAGAGCATTTCGCAATAGCTAAGTTTTACAAATTAAATGACGATTTTGTATCAAAAATTAGTTGTCAGAAAATTTATCTGATTCACTAGAATACAGAACATATTACTTTTGGATTTTACTAATAAATTTCCTGATACAAGAGTCAGCAACTTTGAAAGTTAAACTTGAGAAAGGTTCACTTGATTCAAGCCAGCAATAACTCGCATACTGATAATAAATAATATATTGTACTTGAGATCTTCTCTATATATGCCAAATACAGTATCATGCATAAAGGACTACAGTGAGTATAGAGAAGGACGAGAATGACGTCATGCAGCAATTACCATACTTTGAACATTTTACGATTGACATTGATTATGTTTAAGCCTGATATCGGCGGAAAGTGCAAATATGTATATTTCAACTGTTCGAATGTCGAAATATTCCTTTTGATAAAAACAGAAATAAATTGTCTAGAATTTGATAAATTGTCTAGAATTTGATATTTAGCGATGATTATTAAGATGGAACATAGAACATGATCGTTAAATGTTTTTAATTATATTGTCTTTGGTTGAATTACTGACCTTGGTTACACGAGTTGATGACATGAGATAATAACGAGGTGTGGAGTTGTTGCAAAACCCATCAAATGCGTTGGTTACGCCAATGCATAAGAGCGACGATAAGGTCGCGATGATGGCGCAGATACGCGGCCTGGTATCTTTATTACCCCTCGCAAGACACGTTGCTCAAGTTAATGTTAATTGCCATTTTATCTTACTCAGACGTCTGATATTTTGAGCGCGCAAACTTTACGGCGCGTAAACGAGAGAGACGACGAGCCTCGTGAAAACGCTCGTTTCAACTAATAACCGAGATGCGTCAACATTAATTCTTGAGAATAATTATAGGAATAATTACTAGAAAAATGTCGAAATGTGTCGTAAGAAATCGTCATATAGATATCTCATCTTAAAGGTGTTCTTCTGTTAAAAGCATTTGTTTCTTATTTTTTTGGCTTATCGAATCACACATTTTGCCACCGATAGATTCTTGCGAATCTAATATAATTCCATAATCGTAAGAATGTCGAGGGGAACTACGGTGACATACAGATCTGCAATATTTGTCCGTCCGAATCGAGGATACGTATGTCGTAAGGCGGCGTCTCAGAGAGGAGATTGCGTCGCCCATGGGAGAGCGAGTGCCGTAAGCAAGAACAACATATTCACGAGGTTGTATCGAATTTTATTCCGCGGGTAAATCCTCGAATCTCAACGGGCCTGCGCCTCTTTGCGTCTTTTGCCCCCTCGCGATTCGTCCCGTCTTGAAAATCCACAATCCTCCGCTTCTTTCTCTTCTCGTCTCATGTCGTCCGCGCGCTTTCACTCCACGGAGAGAAGTTTCTGGAGTTACGGTGACTGTTCGTAAGCCGACGGAGACGATGACGGTCCTGGCACGTCTTTTTACTGGCGAAGGTCATTTCATCGGGGAAACGTGGATGGCAGGGTTGTGGCCCACCCTAGCCTACTTCGTTCCATCTCTTCCCACCTCCATCTCTCGTTTTCCTGCCACGTCTCGCTGGAGCTCGTCCGTATTCAAATGTTCGGTCGGGGATGCACGGAGGCGGACGAGAACCGAATTACCTGCTCTGAATTGGAGACCGGTGAAGAAGCGGGGGAAAGACTCGTTGTTACGGAACGAGGCGAGAAGAAAGTAGGACGCCTGGTGGAGAGAAGGCTCCCCTTTTCATTTTTTTTTGTCGAGAATATAGTGTCACGTGGTTAAAAATTTCATCGAAATACGAAGCTGGTGTCGTATCTGACAATTTTAATTCAATATACGAAATATAATTATATTCTCTGTTTTAAAAAACGAAATATTTATCAAATACAAATAAAATACACGTGAGTGAGAGAAAATTTTTTCAGATATTCTTTTTTTTCTTTCGAATAACAATTTTTTTAATTAACATATTAATTAAGAAAAATTGTATTTTTATTCAGGGAAAAAATATCTGGAAAAATTTCCTCTCAGAGAATTAATTTATTATCAAATATCGTAAGAGTATAAATGTTGTAAGAGTATATAGAAAAAGAACTCTTTTTTTAATCTTTTCTGGTTTTTAATGATATAGCGTTTTAAAAGAGTTTGTCACGCTCTTCGAGAGCTTTTTGAGGAAAGTGTCGTGCGCCGTACGAATGATAAGATTACGGAAAAAGATAAGTTGGAAAGATAAAACGCTCTTTGTACATTGGACCTACAATTAAGAGGAATTTTAAACAGCGCGATGGGATTTTACTGAGATCTCGAAAAAATACCGATAACTTTGTATTTGTAATATAATTAGAATCTACGACAATAAATGAGGCCATGTTCACTATATCGCGGTGATGATACGAATCAGCAAATAACACAATCAATGTAATGCATATAATTAGTGTATTACTTTTCGAATGTTATTACTCACCGAATCGCAATAAAACCGGCAGTTTTCTTAATATGCGACTATCATATGCGTATAATAGGGAAACATACGGGCCGTGTGACATCTTATAACTGCTGCGCCATTAACGGCGCCACGATCATTGTAATATACGTTTAGTTTAGTTTAGCACACGAGGGTGGTTGCGAGCCACCGTGCGATCGACCCCTCGCGTGCCAGCCGAGGGTGCATAATTTATCGCCGCCTCGCCCGACCACCGTAATGCAATACGTTACACGCTTGGCATGCATGTGGACTTCGCGTAGGTTATCGATGCTCCCTCAATGTCCGAGGGGCATAACTAACTACCTATAAATAGCACGATCATGTATCGGCATTCATTGCCTAACAGCTCCCTATTTAGACTGATATCTTCTATGACAACACGTAATATGACAACACGAAAAGCAATGTAAAATTGTATTTTCACACCTTTGTGCTTCTGCTCTCGACGCAAATAAAATCATCTTTAGGTCTGAGCAGATCGATAAGGCGTTTGTTCAAGCAAAGAGATCTTAAAATCATATCAAAAAATTTGCCAGATCGTAAAATAGTCGGCGTGAAATGAAAAATTGTAATCTTATCGGTGAAACTTTCTGGCGCTGGTAGGGAATATAGAGTTCCGAGGCCTTTGCTTTAGAATAGAATTGGTTTTTATTGTGACTAGATTACAAACGGGGCCTTTTACGGCGCTCAATATCGCCCAGTAGGAACGTTTACACGTAGCGAGTGAGGTGACAAACGGGAATAAAGAACATTCTGCGTGACGTTACGGATCACTCACCGCAGGGACTGGGATATGTGATTACGACGAACATTTGTACGACACTGGGATTCATACAAAATAGCGGTCGTTTCTTACGTCTATCTTACGTAACTATGTCTCGAGCTCTATGGAGATCGGCCGCTTGCTTGTCGACTTCCGAAGTCGGACGATTCGCGTCGCGTGTTTCGTCGTCGTTTCATTTCATCCCGTCAAAATCTCCCCGACGCACCACCACACTCCCCCGTTATGTGTAATAATTTATACAATTATTTCCGTGGCCTCGACGCGCGGCATAATTATTATACATACGTGATATTTTTGGGGTTTAACTTTGGTTTTGTTTTGTCACAACGCGTGATCTATCAAATAATAAGCTACTTATAAAAATAGGACATTTTCGTTGGTTAACGCCTTCCTAATTACACAATATGAAGGGATATACGTATAAGTTAAACGCTGTCATTGGAACGAGAGTACGAATAGTAAGAGGAATCGACGGACTTGAAAAATCCAATTGCACGCGCCGCGCGAGGATACTGTGAATATTGTTTTAATTGTAATTATTCGACAATACTAATTCAGATTTAACGTACGCCTAATCGATAGGATGCTCCTTACTCCATTACACTGTACAATGCATAATTCGCTTATTTACTTACAGCCTACAATATTTTAATATTTTGCTGAATAGTCATTATTATCGTCATTACAATGTAACAATTTTTTGGTATACAGTTACGCCCGGCATAAAGAGCTGGCTACTATACATATATCTACAGAATAGTGAGTACGTGATCTGCGAGGGATCTTTTATTAGCGTCGTCGTCCTCAGAAATTAACCCCACTCCACGGTTTCGCGTTAAAAAAAGAGCACGTATCGTATATAATTGGCACATTTACGTTGCATAGCTTTTCGAAGAAACATTATTTTGTTCTTTTATCGCGACATATTCAGCAAACATATTCATATTCGAATAATATGATATTTGCCAAATCAAAAAGATTAGAAAGAAAATTGAGGAGGGGGGTTAAAATTACTTTTTATCGCGGCGAAAGTTTGTACTCCATTAACTTTTATCTTTGTTTTGAATATATGCGAACCCACGAACTCACCGAACTTGTAATTTGCCAATCGCCCGACGTAGTTAATTGCTCGCATAATACATATTATTTACAACGTAATCAAATATTTTTAATTGTAAGTTCTGTCAATATTTCTATCACGACAGACACTGATTCCCTATCCTCAATTTTTGCCCTCAATTTTCACGAAGATTTCGAAATCAATGGTTTAACCATGGTCAATGAAATTTGAAATTCGTAAAAAGCAAATGTTTGCAATTCTGTGATAAAATTTGCAACGCTTATTTTGATTATAATCGACCATTGATTAATACATTGCAAATGACTTTGTACTTTTATGAATTTTATAAAGGCAGAAATTATTTTAGTATACTCTATACTTTTCAAATTTATTATAATTGAAGATGATTATTTTTGCAATCGGTTCTCAATATTTAATATTCTACTCTAGAAATGTTAAGTATCTCCGAACTGTATTCCATTAGAGAAATTTATACATTCGATGTTTAATTAAATGAACTAAAATATCGCGATAAATTGGGGAAATCAGGACAACGACATCTCGAGTAGTCGATAAAATTTTACTGGCCTCAATCGTCATCCCGCGGCAAGGACAGCGTCTGCGAGCCGGACGCGATTGGTGGCGTCGTCCAACAATCGAACAATGACGGCCAGTAGCCAGTGGCGGTAGTTGCATGTTGCCAGTAACCAGTTAGTCCAGTCCCACTTCCGGTGGCTGCGCCCGGGCCCCCTACACCGATACCGACTCCCACGCCGATACCACCGGTGGCGGCAGCTACTACCTGTTCAGGATTCACCATACTACTCGCCTCGATAACACTTCGCTCGTCCACTTCCAACTTTTGGTCCGCCGTGGCCCCGTCCTCATCGTACATGAGGTAATGCGGGTGCGAGGTCGTCGACGAGGGCGTTGATGACAGCGTCGGCGATGCGGCGGACCTAGGCCTGGGTCACTCTTGCGACCTGAGCTGATTGTCGCTCGATTGACCTGACACCGCGGCCGCGGCCGCGGCGGCGGAGGGCGGCACCACTTGATTGCCGCCGCCGCTCAGAGAATTTCCAGAATTCGGATTCGCTACGCTATGATGATGGGGGCTAGACGTAGCCCCCGCGTCGCCTCAGACCTGGGCCCTGGCGGTGGCGTTAGCGTGCGCCTCGGGACCACCCGGGGAATGAGGGTTCGCTCCGGCCGCTGTCGTTAACGCATACTGACAGGCGCTGAGACCGCCACCGCCGCCGCCGCCACCGCCACCGCCGACCGAAGACGCTCTCGAGCTTACGGGACTTATACTTCCAGCCGTGGTACCGCCAGTAGTACCGCCCGCGCCGAAAGAACCGCCACCACCGCCACCGTAACCGCTGCTGTGCTGCTTCGCTTTCATTCGCAGCGAGGCGATACTACTCGATGTCATCACCGTGCAGGATTCGGGTGATCGATGATGTGGCGTATAGACCGGCGGTCCATATGGATGATGCGGTGCCGCCGGCGCCGCATACGGACACGCCGCGCCGGATGCGGCAACCGGTGAGCTCGCGACACCGAGTCCGGAACCCATGCCCGGTAACATGGATGTGGCCGCCTGGCCGACCGAAACCGACATGCCGCCCACGTGACTGCCCGCGACCGACGTCGCTGCGGCGTTAAAGGGATTCACTGGGCTGACCTGCGCGTGATGGTGGTGATGCGACGCCGCAGGTACGACTGAGCCCAACGTATTCATCCAGGGAAAGCTCTTGCCACTCAACGGCGATGGCACTTTGGCTGCCCAATTGTTGTACGTGCTGTACGAACTGTAGAGTGTGTCGGGATCTGGGAATGGTTGGGCGATGAAGCCATTTAGGCTGGCTGTACTAAAGCCCGACTTGAAATCCGCTGCGGCCTGCGCGGCGGCGTTCATCGCGTTGCGCTCCTTCTTCCGCCATTTCGCCCGCCTGTTCTTGAACCAGACCTGGAAGTAGATGAACAAAGCATTACGAGAAATGTGAACTATTAATTGGTTATTATTATAGTAAGAGAGATTATTTGAGAAATTTAATAGAGATATCGATTATTTTTTCTTTTCGATATTATTCCTATCTTTGGAATAAACAGCATTTTAAAGAGACCCTCTGATCTAATTTTTCATGATATATAGATGTTACCCTCCATCTCGAGATTTCGTTTTTAATGTATATATAGCTCGTATATCGAGAACAAACAAAGGAGGGAATGTACAATGCGAAAAGTTTCTCGCCAGATTTCGTGAACGTTTGCGTGCCATGGGTTATTAGTCACGAACGCAACGAAGAAAACAACGGACGACGATATCGCTTCATGGTAGACGGTAGGTGAGTCTCGAGACAAATAGCAAGAAAACCCCGGCGAGCTTCTCCATCCTGAAATATGACGGCGTTAATTCAAGGCGGCCCTTCTACGCTCGATACTACGGCAAACTTCGTCAGCCATTTCCACCCTCTTCCCATCCTTTTGCTCGCCCTTCCTCAAACCTACCTACCCAGCGTCCTTCGACTACGTCGTCTCTCTTTCTTGACGACGCCGTCTCTGTGCTCGCTCCTAACAATTATACGGATGGTTGCGCTCAGATACACGTCGCTCTCGCGTAACTGTAAAGCAAGGGGCGGGAAAATGCGACATACGAAGGGTCGTGGCGTAAGCATTCGACGAAGGGAGGGTCGGATAGTTGGCGGGCAGGAAAATAGGAAGGAAGATACTGAGGGTGAAGCAATGCTGAAGGAGGTCGGTAGAATACTCCGTAAGATGGATGGCCTTACGATCACGCCGTAGAAACGCTAAGAGGCGCGACGGGTCATTGAAAGTGGGGGCGGAAGACTAGCTAATGAAGAATAATGTCCTTTCCTCTCGACGATTATTCTCGGAACGTCGCGTAACAGCCCGAACTTGCTAGTAACCTTCATTATATAATTAAACGGAATTATCTTAAGGAAATAATAATAGTGAACATAAGTAGATAAAAAGTAATTTCGAAATTTTAAAATAAAAATCTTGTTTCCTAACTTATTTCATTTTATATTGATTTCTTTTAAGGAGCAGTTTTATTCTTATCATTATATTATATTTATACTTTTATTATTAATATGTACTATTAATCTTACCATTACATAGTTGTTACTATGTATTGTTTAATTTTTGTCATAAAAAATGGATTATTTTTTATTTATATTTGCAGAAAAGATTTATATATGGCTGCGCGTTTTTTTTTTGTCGCATTGGTAAATCGCACGAGAAACATCATTGAATTTTACGAAGCGGGCCGGTAGTCGCGATACCATTGGAGACGATGGTAAGCCAGGAGGGAGTAAATTCGATAGGACAGAATGGTACGGCGGGCGAAAGATGCCGCGAGAGAATCAATAAACTCTCGCGCAAAGGCGCATCGTGTACACACAAGATGCCGCGCCCATAAACTTTAACAGCGTCGCAGAATCTCCACTGAATGAAGAATGACTGGGAGAATCTTAATGCTCTTGATTCGTAAGTTCGTCGATGAATGTACGCTCGGTACTTGAGGGGAAACCATCGCTTGACCGACTGGACCGATTCCAGCTATTGATCAAATAATCGTGAGAGGAATCCCGACGTAAATATACCAACAAGCGTATTATAATTCAGTAATAATTTATGTTGTAATTAATTGGTACATTAGATTAATCTCATTAATAGCTATTTCCAATCCAATTTGATGAATGATGATATCTACAAAATACTCATGTAACGGGTTACGTAAAATCTGTTTTCGGTAAGTAAAATTTCACATTGGCCGGCAGTTGTGTAATTCTTAATAAATTAAAAAATTATGATATTAAAGCGTCAGGTCGATTCTCGATGATGTTTGAAATACGATCTCGGATGTGACTGGATTGACGCGATAAATCGAATCCACTGTTTTCCGCCTGGCAACCGGCTCGGAGAACAATGGCTGCGTCACATCATTCGAGCAATAAAACCTCATCAAATCACGACCCCTCGCCACCATGTAAGCCTTCGTTCGTTCTCTTTCTCTTTCTCTCTCGTGCACACGTTCGGCTCAATCTACGAAAGCTTATATAAATGTAATGAGACCGTGACCGGGGATGCCTCATCAATCACACCCCCTACGGTCCTCCCCCGTCCTGTCCCATTCTATCGTTGATGTCGCTCTTCCCTACGGTCGTCTTCCGCGCCGCACATACGTCTACGTGCTACATAGACACCCTCGAACACCGCACCGGCCCGTCCGCGGTAATCCCGTGACTTAACATCGGGCTCCGGGCTCTCCGGGTAACCGCGATTTGTTCCATTGCGCTCAGAAGTTGCGCGCCACGCCGTGCCGTTAGTTCCTTGGTCAAGAGAGTCTTACAGCCGAGTCTTACCAAAACCCGGCTCTTGAGTAAGGCCTATTTAAGCGGAACAGTTTTCATCCCATCGCACCAAGATATCCTTTTATAACGCCAATTTGTAGCGTCATTTATAAATATGTTCATGTCTTAAAGTTGTCTTAAATTGAGTCTTAAATTTGTAAGGCTTAGTAGCTGATCTTTGGTGAAATTAGCTTGAAATATTTATTTATATTTATGAGGTGCATTTGTGTGAAATGAATATCGTTATTTGTCGCTTTTTTTGAATTTTGTTAAATATTTTTTACTGAGTAAATCAATAATCTTCGTGTATGTAATATACATATTTTTAAAATGAGAATGAATTACATCAAATATCGACTGTTACAGTTAAAAGCAAATTGCTATTTGCCTAAAATCTATATGAAACTGCATTGGTAAGTTTTATCGGCGATTAATTATATTCTTTCAAATGCAAACTATAATAAAAGCTTTAAAATAAACTGTGTGTAGAAATAAAAATTTTTTTATACTATTTTGTCTCCTCTGTCAACATTAGTTTATTACAAAATATAAGAAATTTTAAAATATCAACGCGACATATAATCATCAAAAATATGATATAAATCTTTCAACGTAATGTTTTATGTTTTTGTGCGTCTAGATTAACGATCTCGTTCATTCCGTGTGAAACGTTCGCATGAGTTCGTGCGAGATCGCATCCTTTAGGTTGAAGGAGGAAGAAGGAGAGAGAAACCGGAGGACGAGCTGAAGAAGGAGGCTGTGGGAGACGGTAGAAGGGAGAGAAACCTGACATTCGTAGGGTGGAGATGGTGATGGTGGCGCGTCGGAGGGGAAACTCGAGGGGGAGTCTGAGGGAAGGTTAGTCGTGGGTGTAGAGAGAGACAGGGTGAGACAGAGAGTGAAAGAGAGAGTGAGAGAGAAGAAGAGACGCATGGACGAGGAAACGGAGGTGGAGGTGGAGGAGGATAATATTGATCCCCCGTAGCCCCGCCCCTCCTCGCCCAGCCGACGCCATCATTATATTATCCACCATCCCTCCGTTTCCGACGTATCGCACACCTACGACCTCTCGAAATTCGCAAAATTATCCTGGCTGTGCACGCGCATTGCTTGTGTTCTTGAAGACGAACATTTTAAAAAACGAGGAAAAGCGTGGAGACTATTCTTATGTTCACCATTTGTGTTTCTCGACCATTCCTCTTCGGCCCCGTATCACTTCCTTAACCCTCCTCCGCCATTTCCTCCTTGTTTCGCTTCTATGTCTTTTCACATCGAAGGAAAAGGGATAGAAAATGGCTCGAGGAGGAGCGTTGCCGTGCCACGAAGGATTCCCGAAAATCTTGGGAGGACCAGCGCGCGTGCGAAAGCGCCACTTCATTAAAAATAAATTCCGTGAAGGAGCCGACGGATATCTAGGGGCTTCGCGAGGATTTCACGCCGTAGACTCGCTTCCTCATTCTCTCTCGCTCTATCTCTCTTTACATCTCGTGCCTTCGTCCATTTCTTTCGTCTATCCATAATTCGGTACGCTTTCCTCGTTTGTCTCGTGAATCCGTTGTTCACATCGATGTTCTCCATTTTTCTCTTC